TCATAATACATACTTTTTAGTGGTTTTCTTTTTTTTTAAAAAAGTACATATATAAATAAATACTTATGTTTGGGGAGCTTTTTATGTGTTTTTGATTACTCCGCAGTCTGTGAATATTGTGACACAAACTAAATATATATTTTAATGCCACAGATAATTTCTTTTTTACTTCAGGCATTTGTTGTGGCTTATTTAGAATACATTTTAGAGGTCACAGATTATTAAACAGTGCATTCTGAAGTGTAGCTGTTGTGTTTGTTTTGCTTCACTCTGAATGATATCCTCTGGACATCTAGCAATATGTTAAGGAAAGCAGTTTCACTTTTGTTTTGCTGTCCCATGAATGACCTGATGTTTGAAAAGGAGACTGTCTCCTGCTGGAAAGCAGGGAATGGCACAGACAAGGCCCAGCCATCCAATTCCTGATTTTTTTTGGTTCTTCAAAGAAATGCTATGACAACTTTTGAAGTGTTATTCTCTTGATACATGGGATGATATGAGGAGATACCCTTAGACATATTCTCTAGGGATTTCCTAAACACCTGTTTCTTAAACTGGGAATAGAAAGAAAGAGTACTGAGAAAGGGGAAAAGAGGCTTGTGTGTTCATATATATGCTACAGTCAAGGAGAAGGAAGAAACTCTTTCTACTGGCATAATTGCACAGTTAGAATGAAGTAAATGCAGCATAAAAACCCATACATACAGATACTGGGAGTATAGTGGGAATAATAGCAGGTAGCATCAAAGCATAATATTTTTAACAGGGAAAAAGGAAAAAAAATATAAATTTCTTTTGTGGGTCATGGCAATGGCACAATTTCTAAAGGTGAAATGCAGACAAAGTTACAGCTTTAAAAGACAAATGGAGCTCTCAGAATGAGCAAAGTAACTTTCCTGTCAGTAACTGCCAAGGACTGGGGAGAAATACTTGTGATAAATGTTAGGGCTATACATAACTTGTTTATTTTATAAATAATTTGGAAGAACACAAGTTAATAGGAAGAAACAGATTAAAGTTATAGCAGTTGCAAGACATCCAAGAAGCCATTGTGTGTGAGATGTTAACTCAAAGCAGTGCGCTTGTTTGCACTTATTTTCACACTATACTCTTTACATGAAGGATTGATTAATGTGCTTGAAGCATCACTGTGTTATATGAAGAAATGTTTCAATAAGGATATTAATACAGAGTTGATGAACAGAAAAGTAGAAGCCTCTGAATAGCTTTTTAGGTGGTAACACTTAAAATATTTTACAAAGAAGACAGTGTATAGATTAACATAGTAATATAATAAATTACTTTTTAATATTTACATCTGGCATACACATGTATGTAGTTAATATTAATGATTAATTTTATTATGTATTACATACATCATATGTGTTTTTATATAAATGTGATGTGGGAAAAATCTCGTAGGACTCTCAGTCATGTCTAGCAAAAAAAAAATAAATATGTAAGTCTCTTTCTTACACTGAAATAAATTCTGAGTGATGGCAGAGAGCGTGCAATGGGAAAGTGTGACTAATGAGATCCAAGGAAGCCTGTAAGAAGGGCTAAAAATAACCTATGGCAAATACAACTGAAAAAACAGCAGGTAAAAAAAAATATTCCAAACTTTGTTTATAAATGTATTTTTTCATTATTTTAAGCATAAGCGTTTCAACTATTACAGGCATCTAAATCTCTTACTTGAAACTGTATGGATCAAAATCAGCTTTGAGCTGAGAAACACTTAAATCTTAAAACAAACCACAAAGCATTTCAACATATAAAATATTTTGTCTTTCACACAGCAATGCAGAATTAGTATTATGCACTTTTTTCATACTTTCATGGAATTTAAGTGACAGAAGAGATACTTATTACTTTAAAAGTCAACAAGGTTAGGTTTAAACAAATCTTAAGACCCTGGAAAACTAGATTCACAGGAAGAACATTGGCATGTGTTAATCCAAGTAATGGAAGCTCTTTAAGTTCATTGGCAAATGAAGATGGGTGTTGTTTCTGTTCTTTTGCCTAGTTTTGAGCTAAAGTAATCTAAGGTACTTCAAGTGTCTTCCAAGTATTTTATTACAGTATGTGGTCATTCAGTTAATATCAAGCATAGCTTTGAAAGTTGTTTTGCTTGGTTTTGTTTACTTTGGCTAACAAAACTATGCAGAGTACCTCTACCTTTACAGCATAAATAAGGCATTACGAGTATATTTTTAAAACATTTATAAGATATGATGGTACTACGCTCCAGAATTTTTTTTTCTTCCACTTTATTTTTTTAAGATGCTTGGAACTAAATCTAGTAAATTTAATGCTTTCTTTAATGCTTTCTTATAAACAGATATTCTCTTAGAGAATTCAGCAATATCATCTCTGAAACAAATAGCTAAATAAAAAACAATAGCTTGTGATCTTTGTTCTCTGATGAAGACTCTGTGGGCATTCATTATAAGTTGAAACTTTAGGAATTTCAAAACTATTTTAAAAATAATATTTAAACTCACATATTTCAAGTCAATTAAAAAGAAAAGGGAGGGGGTGGAGGATTGGATGCTGTTATTAGATAACATGCAGGCAGCATAGTAACAGACGATAACATTGCAGTTTAATTCATTTTAAGTTTCAGCTACATAAATGATGCTTTTTGTTTGGTATATTTATGTGGTGCTTCAGGGAGTAAAATATAGATTAAAATTATGAATATTGCATGCAGTACTCAGACCCTCTTTTCCAATAAATTTTAAGTAATGAGATAAAACAAATGTAGGCCTGTACCCAGACTAAATGCTTTTCTCTGGAGCTTTCATTTTCTACTATTTAATATGAAAAGGAAGCTGTTTGCACAGACAGCTGTTTGCATAGAACGTATATTGACAATTTCATTATGCAAGTCTAATGTAATATGTGCTGTTTGCTCTTTTTGATTATGTATTTGCATGAGTATTATTTCAAAAAGCTAACTGGAATATGCATAGTTAATAGTCTATAGTCGCTGGCACTAAAAGATGTGTGCAACAACATAAATCGTAAAAGTCTCGACAGTTTTTAGAAGATCTCAGATACTAAATTTAAGTTTCTGACTATTTGTAACAACTTAAACAAAAACATCATACAGACTAATCTGTTGACAAGATACAGCTATTGAGCTCTGAAGGAATGAAGAGATGAAAATGGAACTCAACAGGGCACACTGCTGTTCTAATCAAACAGAAAAATGTCAGACTAATGTTTCACTTTATACCATTTTGTTCTTCTTATATATTTTAGTCATTGCATTTGGTCAGTCATATGAAACCTATTAAAGTAGTAAATATCAATGTAAAAAAGAGAGTGAAAAACAGTAGTTAAATGGAGACAGGAAAAGACTAAACAAATGACTTGTGTTTATTATGAGTACCTCCTATTCCTTCTTCAAGAATAATACAATTATTTTCTAATTAAGTTGAACTTTTTGTCTCTCAAATTCTTGACTTTGGTAAATGCTATAGTCTGTAGTTACTAAAAAAATATATTTCACTTTATTCAGAAAGTGTCCACTTCTTCGATTATGACTTGATTTTGTGTGCTATGACCTTGTTTCTTTGATCAACTATTAAAAATAACTTTTTGTTTCAGACTTAAGGTAGAAGGAAAACATGGTAGTGAAAGTTGAAAGGACTCAGTGAAACAAGTTTGTCCATATGAGGCTGAAATTGTCTGCTTGATGTTTGATTCAGGTGGCTATTTATTCAGACTTCATTGGAAATGAAATGATATGACATTGCTACTGCAACATTTCAAATTAGGATAAAATAATTATGCATCTCTTAATCCAAATTAGTTGCAGAAAAGCAAAGGAGTTCATGTTTTAGCATTCTACCCTTAATTTCAGTCACTTTTTATAACACCATCCTTAAATTATATTGCATTCCTTTATTGTGAAGAGTGCAGGTGTATATTAATAAGTTTTAAAAATTTTTTTCTTCGCTTGCCAAAATTTTTGCAGGAGAAGACAATTGTATATCCTTGGTTTGACTAGTAGTTAAATAAATTGCTGACATACTTCTTTATGAAAAGGGAAATCAGAATCCCAAGATGAGGAAACCAGAGCCTTAGGATAATAACTGCAAACACAGTGGTCCATACAGTATCAGGTATATAATATCTGTCAATGTGTCTCAAAGGTCTGATGTGGATTAATAACACAGTAGAAAAATGAAGCAAAGTAAGAAGTCAGACCCTGTATATTGGAGGAAAAAAAAAAGTATTGCAATTTCTAGTGCCCTCTCCTTCAGCTCACACAGTGACACATTCTCTGTGATCCTTATACAAGGTTAGTTGTTAAACATAATTAGGAGGTCAGCTAGGTCAGCAGTGTCAGGACTCAAGGGTTCATGGTACTTCAGAAAAGTGCAGAGCTAACCCTGACATAACTGTGGAACATACACAGCTATATGACTATTTTAAATGGCATGGGAGTACACATCCTTCTGCTGGCGCTCATGATAAGACTTTCTACCATACACCAGGCTGAGAAAGCTTGCAGGAAAAACTGAGGCTAGCTAAGCGAGAGTAAAGCACAAGAGGAAGCAGGTTTCCCTTTTTAAGGAGACATAGGCCTTTGCTTTGCCAGTTGTTTTAGGTGCCAGAAGACCCCAAGAACACTCTTCATATTAGCTACCACCATTAAATGTGAGTTAAATTCCAGATATACTTCTGTTATTCCTGGCTCATGTGGGCTCTTCCACTGATATATGGATCCTGTAAATTATTTGTAAGATAGTTAACAAAATTACAGTTCTATGTATTTTTAAAAGTTACAAGATTATAAAAAAAGTTTTCATGTTGCTTACCTCCAGGAAACTGAGTAAGTTTAATTACAGAGTATTTTCAATTTTAAATTAAACTACATTCTACTTTTAGATGAGCAAGACTGGAGTAAAGGTTTCCTTGCTTATATTTGCTGCCACCAGATGTCACTGTGTAGATGAATAACTGATTACTCTTTTTCCCTTTTTTAGCTTTTTTTTGCATTTGATTTAATCAAATATGATTTCCAAAAAGATGAACCAATTAGAAATAAGGATGGTTGGTGTGAAAAAGTTAAGAAAGGTAAGTGTGTATTTTAATGGGATATAATACAAATACTCCAGAGAATTTTTTAAGTAGCCTTGCTGTTGTGTTACTATACTATGCCAACATCAACTATTACTCGTTGCTCTGACAAAAGCAATGTGATTTTTGATTGAAGACAGAAGATTATTAAACCTATCAGTGCTGACACCAGAAGAACTTAGGAAATCCTTGGATATGTTCACAGAGAGCAATGTTTAAAAGTTATGATGTGATATGATCTCTGAATGTGTAGATAATGACATTTGTGTTTTTTAAAGGAGGTTAACATAGTGAGATGGTTGCCTAAGAGTTCTACAAGAAAGACTGGGGGATTAGAGCAAATGCCTTTTGATGGAGGATAAGTATTCCCGAATAAGTGAATTGATTAAGCTTATCAATTTTTCTTTTTTTTTAAAAAAAATGAGGTTTCTTGATTATAGCTGTCTCCAAAATACTTAACAAATATCTTGTATCTCTAGTTTCAAAGTGTCTATCAGATACTGAAGGGCCTCCGTTATATTGTAGGAAGGTAACAGCTGTAATTAATGCCTGGAAGCTGAGCGAGAAAAACTCATTAAAGGTCAGGCAGACAGCTTTAACAGGAAGCTGAAGCAGATTTTTCAAAGGAGTTAAGAGATTCTTTAACAGGTCTTAATCAAAGATGGGCGCTTCCAGGAAACTGTGGTTACCAAAACGTGAAATTTTGTAGAAAATTATCTTTAGGGATGTCAGACTGACCTGTTAAGGGAACACATGCGCTAATCAGATGCCTGGCCAATTTTTTTTTTCCAATTATACCAATCAGTCTAATAAAAAGTATTATCTCTATCTACAGACTTTGTCTTACCCATGCCCTGTATCTTCAGACCGTCATGGCTGCAATAATACTACCAGTGAACTAAATGCTTTCATCTTAAACACTACCAGTTTATGGAAAAAAGGCACATCTCTTATGAGGAGGCAGTCTTAAATTAAAAATTGTGCATAAGTTTGGACGCATTTTTATTTTTATTTATTTTCATATTTATAATTCTTGTCTTTGATACGAAGTAATGTAACTCTTAAGCTTTATTATTCAAAATGTGATTCCAAAAAGATTATGAGTTCATGCATCTATTCCACTTTCAGCAAACTAACACCCACATACTCTACATGCATAACAGAATAATCCTATCCCCATCTCTTCCTATTTTTTGAGAAAAAAATATAAATTCTTTATATTTTACTTCAAAAATAAAGCAATGAGGCTGTATGACATTAATGAAAATGCTTAAGAAGTGTTCTCAGAACTTCTGGAAGGAGACTAAATAGGAATTTACTGCCTGGGTTGAACACCTGCTTTTTATTAATGCTAGTTTTTCAGTAGGAAGCTGATGAAATTGAGATTCATCACTGGAATTCAGTAAGGTGTAGGGAGTGGGATATAATATTCACTTGAAGTGTGTACTTTGAGAGTATAGTAAACCTACTAGTGAACTCACAATTGACAGTTGACAGTTCTGGAAGAAGACTGATGAGTCATCAAGATCAAATACAAAAGAGTGGGAATCTGAGTGGACGATACTGTACTGTGTCTTTATGACCATTTAGCATGTAGAGGTGACCATAGGAATTGTAAAGCAGTAGAAACAGTTAAGTTTTTATTCTTGGGTCTTAGGTACTGGACCGTGCCAAACTTGGTTCCTGGTCTTGTAAAATTGTATGTACCAAATTAATGTTAATGTAAAGTACAGGAAATGTGCAATGATACCTTAGGTTTATGTTCTTTCAAATTCTCTGTATAGGTGAGGCTGGTCTTCTCATTTCCAAAGTCAATGCGAAGAACCCCTTCTTTGGATATGCTGGCAGTAAGAGTCACACAGAAAAGAAATTACTCTGTGAAGTATTTAAGAAGGGAGATCTTTATTTTAATACTGGAGACCTAATGGTTCAAGACCATGAGAATTTTCTATATTTTTGGGACAGGATTGGGGATACCTTCAGGTATAATCTTTGTTTCTTTTCACGTTCTTCATTAAAAAGCATGGACATGCAGAACAGAATAATACCGTTCTATTTGTTTTCAACCAGTACTGTTCAGTTTATTAATATTCTGATGTAGTTTATAATGATCTTGAAGTGGATGACAGGGTCTTAATTTTCTAGAAAGTGTTCCCATGGAGTTGGATAGCTCATTTCCAGAATATTTTGTAGGAATTACAGCTCTTTGAACAGTCCTTCCAATAAGCATAGTAATTAGTGATGGTTTTGCTGCTAGCAAGGAGGTTAGGTACTGAAGTGGAGATGAATGTATCAAATGGGAAAGACTGGTCACATTTGATGCATTTAGATACATGTCAAAATTCTGAAAAACATTGTATTAGATTATGATAAGCTTTCATTGTCCTTTATAGTGATAGCTAATATCCAGTACCATTTGAATTGCAAGCATTTTTTTCTGGTAATCAATCAATATACCAATGTGACAAGTGAGAACAAAGTTGAGGTATTGTTAGTTTGAAATTAATGGAGTTCCTACTAAAATTCCTGTTTTTTCAAGAGGAGGTGTCCATATGTTTTCATGAGATTAAATTATTTTTTCATATTTTAGATGGAAAGGGGAAAATGTTGCAACTACAGAAGTTTCTGATGTCATTGTCATGTTGGACTTCATACAGGAAGCAAATGTGTATGGTGTATCTGTGCCAGGTAAAAGAAGCTTTAACTGTATGCTTTTCTCCCCTTAGGTTAGTTGTTAGACCTCATAACATTTTTTATTTCATGATTTAAACCTGTGAATCACTACTGATTGTCATCTGTTTAATACCTAGCTAAAATGTAGATGTAGATAATGAAAATACCATAAGATTGGTATGTGAATGAGCCAGTGAATCATGCATTTTTATGTGGATGCAGTGATGTGTTTTTGAAAAGTTATCTTTCATGAATTTGTGATAGCTACATAATCCAAATTAAAGTTTAAAGATTTATTAAATTCACATTTGTGGAAAATCCACACATTCATGTGTCAAAATAAAATGTCAATAAGGTAAGAATTAAAATAACTCTAAAGGAAAATGTGTTAAGACATTCTTCTGTCTTATTACACTTTTCACTTAGTGTTATAAACCATCTGTAAACAGATATATTACAAAACCAAGAACAAGGTGAAGAAGAAAATAATTAGAAAAATAATTAAATTATTAAGAAAGAAATCACTGAACAAAGCTTGCACAATATCAAGGCTTTCTTCCTGCAGTGAGTATGCTGGGGAGAGGCAAGAAGTTGGGAGCAGACGTAGACGGGACAGTGGGCCCAAAGTGTCCAAAGGGATATTCTATAACATATGATGCCATGCTCAGTAATAAAGGCTTGGGGAAAGGAAGAGGGTGAGATGTTTGTGGTTATGGCGTTTGTCTTCCCAAGCAACCACCACATGTGCTGATTGAGGCCTTGCCCTGCAGGAAGTAGCTGGACATCTGCCTGACGATAGGAAATAGTGAGTGAAGTCCTGATTTTGCTTTGCTTGTGCATGCAGCTTTTGTTTTCCCTATTAAACTGCCATGATCTTGATAGAAGTCTACTTGCTTTCCTTCTGTTCCCTTCCTATCCCATGGGAGAAGGAAGTGAGTGAGACGCTGGCTAGATGTTTGGTTGTTGGACAGGGTGAACCCACCAGAATATGATAAAACAGTGTAAAATGTGAAAAAGGTGCCACTCACTTCTAGTTCAAAGCCACACAAGAAAGATCATAAAAAGAAGACTGACTGAAAATCAGATTCAAAATAATGAGAGCTTCTAATTTCCTATACATTTACCTGCAGATTACTACCCAGTTTATGCAACTGTCTTGATAATGGCACTTAAACAGAAACAAATCAAGTTACTCCCAGATTTTTTAGCATTAGCAAAAGAAATACAGAAAGGAGAAAAAAGATAAGGTGGGCAGAATGTCTCGGCTGTTATTGCTAGCTAAGGATTACAGTGTGCAGTTATTTTTTGATTGCTAAAGTTCACTGCTTTTATATTTTACCCATTTCGGTCTTTCTTATAGACCCACAGTGCTCTTTCTTTCCAGACAAACCAGTAAGAACTTTTAATCTCTCTCTCTGCTAACAACACACAGATCCACAGTTTTGAGATAAGATACTGGCAAGAGAGAAAGGGTAAAACAGAAGAGAATATATAATTGGTTAATCCAGGAAAGAGGGTCAGCACTCTTGTCTTTGAGAAAGGAATGGTTTTGATGTTTATCCACACTTATTGATCAATATTCAGCATGGGACTCCATTTCCTCTTGCCTGCCAAATTCATTTACAGCATTATTGCTTAACTGATCACTTGACTGATCTCCAAATATATGTAATACCATAAGAAATATGAATGCAATCTTCCAGTTTTACTGAAACTTAGAAGATTATATATGACTGTCAGTTCATTAATGCACTACAGTTCTTTTTTGTAAGGTTCATTACTGAAATGTCACCTTTATTAATGTTTCGGAATTCGCATCTTGGTTCCTTTCTCCCAGATCATGAAGGAAAAGCAGGAAAATATTTTAAAGCAGAATACATCGTTAGACTTGGAGCAAATGTATAAGCAAGTAGTGACCTATCTACCAAGTTATGCTTGTCCTCTTTTTTTAAGAGTCCAGGTAAGCTGCATTATTGCACAGTGCATACATCTGCATCATTTGAATACAGAGATGGCTAAACGAATAACAGAAAGTGCTTGTTCATGTATCACTAGATGAGTTTTAGAACTGGTCCTATTTGCTGTCTTCATTAATGGAGTTCTGGGAAGGTAATACAGAAAAAGTCAATAAAATCTCCAGATTATGCTAAAATGGGAGGAATCATACAAATGAGTAAGGATAGAGATCATACAAAAGGATTTAGGGAGATTAGAAGCATGAACATGGGAAAACAAAAGGATTCAGATTAGTAAAATGTGAACAATTACATCTGGACAAAATAATCTAAAATACATTTTATTCAGTGGAAATGAGAGGAAAGAATAGAGCTACAGCAGGAGACACTGCGCAATAAATGAAATGTTATTTGCTCTGTAATATAATAACAAAAGTTAAAGCATTTGAAAATATACTAGGTAAACTGAAAAGGTGAATTAAAAATGTACATTATTATTATTGTCACCACCATAATCATCAAAGTCATCCCTATTTGTGTACTAGTACTTTGCTGTAGTAACTGTCCAATTTGTCAAAAAAAAAAATAGTCCCTCCCCCAAAGAGTTAAAAATGTAAATGTAATACAATAGACTACATGTGGCTAGAAAAAAATGGGAGAGTGTAGAAATCATACAATACTGATCATCATGGTAAGTGAAGTCTGATGAGCATCTTCATTTCTGGTAAGTGTTTTGAAAACAAAGGCAAACAGAAAAATGTTTTTCAAGATGTTTTTGAAGGAATTTTCCTAAGTCTGGGGAGATAAAAAAAATACTAATTGTTTGAAAAGGGAAGATAAGTGATAGCAGTTGGTTTCCTGGGCCAATCAGAGATGGCATACTGATTCAGAATAAAGGAGGGAAAAAGGAAGAGAATATGAAGGATCTTGAAACTGAATTATAGTTACATGTTTTTATATCTGTATCTATCTCATATGTCCCGGAAGATACTGTTTCCAGCAGCATTCTGACATGAGCAAGCAAGATTACACTTGAGAATGTTGCAGTAGTCAGTTTATGAAATTATAATAGCCTAGTCTATATTTATTGCTGTAGAGATGTACAAGAAAGCCTTTATGCTGGGCAGAGGGAATCCGAGTCTTGGATGTAGCCTGGATATGAACTTTGATTAGAATTTAAATGCCTACATTACAGATTAATTGCTATTGGTACTGCTGTCATTAATGAAGAAAGAAGATAGTGGGGGAAACTTCAAGGGAAAAAATTAAAACCTATTGAGCTTGATCTGGCATGTAATCACACTTTAGAAGATGTCAAAATGTTTCTTATACCAGTCAAAGCAGATAGATACAATTTGGAGGTAGATCTGGAGTAGATACAACAGTTCTCTGAGTTGTTGGAGATAATAATTTTTAGTTTTCAGAGATTGTTTGTGTATATATAAAAATGTAAAGACAGAAGAGAAGATAATGGAGAGGGGCCGTAAAGTGGGGCTGAGAAGGGGCAGGGAGGATAGAGAAAAGAGTCTCACTAAGGTTGCCTCCCACTATTTTTTTCCAAGGAACACAGTGACATTGAAAAGAAGCTTGAAAACATAAAATGTGTGGTAAAGATTGCCTTTATTTAGACCTTGCTGAGTACGAATATGGTTGATTTAGTATGTGATTCCTTCACCCTTTATTTAAGGTGACAATAAGCATAGATACAGAAAATTTCCTGAGTTTTATCAGTAAGAAATTCTTGGTAAGTACAGTTTTTACTCTCAGATTCTTTACGATGTGTAGTTTTATAATGAGCACAAATGAAGAATATCGATAGATTGTCTCGGGCAGGCTGGGGCTACACCAAATGAGACACTGGGATGAGCAGCGCAACAGGCTGTAACTTTTTTCTGCCATGTCTCTGGGTGTTGGTCCATAGCAGCACAAAAGTTGTAGTTTTCCAGCATTATGAGAATCAACAGTATTGACCTTTTATCAAGTATGATTTTCAAAAACAAATGTCTGAGCAAAAGAAAAGAAGCTCTTCTGTTGAATAATAAATCTTTCTCTGTTCTATAGGAAAAAATGGAAATTACTGGAACATTCAAACAACAAAAATTTCGACTGGTGGATGAAGGTTTTAATCCATCTACAGTTACTGATCCTCTTTATTTTTTAGATAATTCTAAGAAAGCATATGTCTTGCTAACCAAAGAAGTACATGAGATGATCTTATCTGGGAAAATTAAACTTTAATTAACCTAATAATAGGCTGTTAAGGGACAGTCTATAAGAGCTACTGTATGAGAAAACAGTAACATTAATTACTAGTATTTATACATAGTTATCCAGAATAATATTTTCTATACTTGACATTTACATTCAGATATATCTTTCCTCACTTCATCATTATTGTTCAGTAATCATTTTTTTACCTCTTGATACCAATTTCTAAGTAAATGACCTGTACAATATGACTGAAATCTATTTCATCTTAATTTTGGAATATAAATGATGAGTCCGATAGTTTTTATTAGTATTAAATGAACATGAATGATATGTGGTATGAAACACTGTAAAAAAAGATTCAATGTGTATTGTGAAGCAAGTTGTCAGTTGAGAGAGAAAATACACCAGTAACATCTTTTGTTTAATGTAGTTTACATCATAAATACTTGTGAATATATATTTTAAGAAATAAAGACTCAACAGTGGCTGGAATTAAAAACAACTCCTCTGCAGAGGACTTTTCTGGTGGAACGTTAAGATGAAAGAGAGTGAAGCAGAAGAAAGCCCTCCAAACAAACTCAAACAAAGAGGTTTATGCTAACATCACTGTTGAGATTTTTTGTCATAATCCATGCTCTTTCATTTGTTATACTGGCTGTCTGGAGTGTCAAATTCTGAAGACAGAGCAAACTTTTGTGAAATGTTCAGCAGCAGATCAACAATAGGCTGAGAAAATGTACACACTTAATGGGGAAAATCACTTATATAGCATAAAAATAATTATTACAGCACTTTGTCATGCATATTGACTAACAAATAGCTTCCTTACTCTTATTAATGACTGCCAGATATCATTATTTTGTAAGTATAAAATATAGCAGAAATTTTAAAATTTCATTCATATGATTTAGAATAATTTAGAATTCAAAATTCTAAATGCATTGCTTTTAAAAAGTTTTAAAATAAAGTATAATATTATTTAAGCCAAATAAATGTACTGTCTCAGTTTGATTTAAGGCTCATTGCATGAAGTGTGTATTGTAGCCTGTTTTGATATACTGTTTGCAGTGTCCTCCTCTAATGGATTGTGATGTCAGCTTTGATCAGCCAGAAGCAATGAAATGGCGACTCTCTTCAGCAGTGGGCATCATAAGTCTCTCTTCTGTCATTACTGAGGTGTGAAACCAGGGTTGCATAAAAGAGCAGAAATTAACATGCTTAAAAAAAAAATAACTATCTTTTCTTGTTTGTTTCTACTTTGTTCATCTAACAAAACGTTAGATCCTGTGTCAACTTTTGATTCTCTGATCAAATCATTTAATTGATTTTCCTTAAAACAACAGATCAAGGATGCAGTAAAAAAATATACAGATTCATAGCTTGCTTATATTTCTGAATACCATATTCTTTATGGCACTGCCAGTATGAATAAGCAAGTTTGCAATTTTGCAATTTACAAACCAACAAGACCAAACAGTAGTTATACCAAAATCATGCTTTATGATAGATGTTAATGTAATTAAATGTTAGGTACATAATGGGGGAAGGAGAGGACTGCTGGGTAAGGATGGAAGGGTCTAGCACTTCCTGAGCAGTCCCCTTTTTTATATCTGTTACTTTAAGTGGTTCCCAAAATGGCAATCTATGACAGAAAGCTGAGGGGGTTTGCCACTTACTCAGACAGCTGGAAGTACCATTGCTCTGTTCTGCAGATGATTGCACTTTCCTAGTAAAGAACTATAGATTTTAGAATCAAATATTTACAATAAAGTTAAACCCTACTTTGCAAGTTAGGTTATAATTTTGAGCAAAGGATTGGCAGTTGAAATTAAAACTGTTTTATCTCCTACACCCATCTTACAATAAGTGTGTGCTGAACATACCTCAGGATACCTTTTATTACAACAGAAAAAATAATGCAGTTCCTATGGCAAATGATACACTTAAAAAATAATTTTCAAAAAACAGTTGTACCCTGAGATGCACAAAGGGATTCCCAAGGGGAAAGGACTGTATTATTTTCAGTCCAATACTTTTCTTTCTTTTCGCCAGTAGGTTAGGTACCAGCAAGTGCACTGAAGCATATTGCAGCAAAATGTCACATATCCCATAGATATGTGTATTCTTGAACTGGCACTGAAGTTAGGCTGAATGATAACGATATTCATGTCAAAAACCAGGAAGGGCTTTCCTTTCAGAATGAGAAAATATTTGGATCAACCTTGTCCATTTCCTACTCTCATACCCAGATCAACATGTGGAATGGCTGAGGGCTGAGAGATTGAGTGTCGCTGCAAAATTTTGCCCCAGTATTTGCCTGGAAAGTTTTATTTCATGTAGTAGGGGTAAAGAAGCAGCTGAGAGTGGCTGGGGTGTGGATGGAGAGCTGCACTGCTAACCACACTTAGAAAAAAAAGGACAGAGAGAGATTAAAATAAATAAAGGTATTTATTTTTGATATTTAACATATAATATATATCTTGAAGATTTCCTCTGCATCTGGGATAGTCAGTGGTAAAAGAAGTGTTTATTTTAAAAAACTGAGATTGGAATTACCACTTAGGGAAGGTAAAATTCTGTGAGGTGTAAACACTGACCCGCTCTCTTGTCCTAGGGCATCTGGTACAGTTAATACTGTTATAACCTGGTTTAGTTTTCATAAATCTTTCTTAGGATCCCCAGGAAATGGTAAAAAATTACAACGTTTCTAAGCAGATCATGGCCTGAGTTTTATCCTCCACACCCAAGTCAAGTAGATACAGTTTTTCAAGAGATGAAGCACCTAAACTGTCCTTCACACTCCCACCAGCATTCCAATACCCGTAACCGCCACCATAAAGAATGTATTTCAGTTGACCTACAAATTCCCTGTAGATGACATACAGAAAACCTCTTCTACTGTTGGTTTTGCATCTTGTTTTGTGGAGGGAAAAAGTGGTAAAGGGAGGAGCAGTCTTGTTTGCATTCTTAAAATTAAAAAATACTGGATGGCTACGGGAGGAAAGACAAAAAAGACCCTCCACTTAAAAAAAAAAAAAAAAGAAAAAAGTGATGTCAGCTGTCCCCAGCTAACGATGCAACTAGTAATCTGATGTGCATTTTCTCACACAGCAGAAATTATAAGACGCATACTGGTATTTATGAAACTTATTAATTAAGTCAAAACCAATTTCAACCAAATAATGTCTTTCTGTTTAAAATTTGCTGTCTTGAAAAATGCTATTTACAGTAAAACTATATGCAAAGATTCAGCAGACAGCCAAAGAAAGTTGCACATTAATAGTAGTAATTTTAGGAATAAGTTTAGTGTGATGTATATTATTAGCAGTACTGTCAATAACTGACAGCATAGTCTGATAATTAATTTTGCCATAAGGGTAGCATCAGAAGATCATTAGATTGTGTCCTAGTATTCAGGACATAATACCTTATACATTATACCCTTAACTGGACAAATATATAACATAGATGGCAATACTAGTTTTAAGCTAGGTCATTATCAGAGTGAAATGAAATTCCTGTATCACTAACAAATCCAGAAGTTCTCCACAGTCTGAGAATCTTTTACCAAAATAGTCTTCATTCAGTTTCTCCAGAGTACATCAGAGACAGTTAAAATCAAACAGTCAGGAATCGCTTTTCAAATATAACAAAGCAGTCCTTGTTGCTGCCTTGTAGCAGGAGATACACTGACCCATTTCCATTTGGAGCTCTTCCTGGCACCGTGAGGTTTGCATAGTTCCCATTATTACATAGTCCTGCATTAGAAGTGGGGCATTTAGCATGCTGCCAGCTGCACCATATACAGGAATAATTCTTACTTATAAAAAGGGCACTTAGACTGGCAAAAAAATACTTGTTGGTTTTTTGGTCTCCTTTTCTTCAAGTAACTGATGCTGCTATGCTGATGAAACCAATAGTTCTTGCAAGTGTTTATGGACAGTGTTAGCCATGTAACACTGGCCAAGTCTGCTAAGTTGCTCTTTGTGGTGGTTCTTGGTTTAGAACTCAAACTAAATGGCTCAGTTCCCTTAAAAAAAAAAAAAAGGTTAAAGAACATTATAACAAATTGAGTACTGAGTTGCTCACTTGTTTGAAGCATATTTTGCAAGGAAGGAGTGAATGCCTTGACAGAAATTCAAATATGAAGAGGGTCCTGCTCATTCAGTGCAACCTGCTGAGTACAGATAAACAGCTGTCAGTCTTTTACAGTGCTTACTGTATGGAAGGATGTATCTTCAGTTTTAAAATACTGCCTAAAAAAGCAGATTTGATCCCAAACCAGACAGTGTATTTTGGTATACAGTTATTTGCCTGGTAAAATTCATTACTCATCTGTTTTTGCCAGGTATTTGTATATCTTTGTTAACTCTGTGTGGCCAAAATATACTCACTGGTTTCCAAAGTCAGGCAAGCTTATTTAATCGAGTTTACATGAAAGGTATCTGTAATTGGCAAAATCTGACATCTACACTATCTATGTTACCAATAATAAATCAGATGTTTATATACAGGTGCAGATCTTTACAGTTTTAAAAATGAAACTGTTAATGGGCATTAAGATAATATTTTCTAATTAATTTTCCTGAACCTAAACAAACATGAGCAAAAGGTGCAAAAGGTGCATCTATGGCATGATGGATGGCAGAGAAACTGATGATTTTGTGAGTAATGCCAACTAGAGTGTTACCTGTGAAAGACAGCACGTTGTAGTGATTAGCACAATTTCCATTCAATTTTCTTTTCATTCTTCCTTCTCATTCATTCTTTTCTCCTTGGTAATAACAAAATATACTTGCATTGTTATTTTTTTTAAAAAATTGGTAACTTAGGAACATAACATACTAATGCTGAAACTGATCATGTTACATGGAAATTCTGTTGGAGCCAATAGGAAGTATTGACTTCAGTAATCTGGACACATTTTTATACAAGATATGTGAAAATGAACTCAGCTTTGGTTTTTGTTGGTTTTTTTTTAAAGTTATATTAGTTAGGTTCATGGCCTCACTGAAAGCACAGAAATT